CGACGAACACACCGCCGACGCAGTTGTACAAATCCATGTATATACATAAAATAAATTATTATCAACATTAAGCTATCCTATCTGCCGCCGGCCGCGGTATTCGAAAAGCACCCGACGAAACGCGGGCGCAGATATATCGAGGATACTGGCTCTCTTTATAAAATTATATTAGGTACCTTGTATAGAATTGCACTGATTATAAATAACAAAAAAAAAAAAAGAGAAAAGAAAAAACGGTGAAAAAGGAGACGTAGAAGTAATCGAGTTTTTCACGTCGAGCCAACTCTGCCGACTCGGGAACCGGACAGGGGGCGCCATGTTCGCCCTCCCGCCGCCGACCCGCGAAAACGCTATTTGGCACATAAATATTATCACATCGAGCTCCCGATCTTTCCAGTTTCGGTTCAATTCGTTTTCCCGAACCACGTACGAGACATTACGCCTTACAGTTTTATATTATTTTTTCTCGCTACGAGACCGCGCTCGTTTTCTTTTTTCTTTTCGCTTTTCTGTAACATTCATTAACGGTAAACAACGATCCCTCGGGACACTCTGATCGGTCCCCGTGGAGTTTCCTCGTGCTTTCACGAACTCGCACAACTCGAAGGAAAAAAAAAAGAAACGGAGAGAAAAAAAACAAAAACGTAACAGCGTGTGTCCGGAAACATCGAAAAACAAAACACAACGTCGTATTAGAATTTGATTATTCGTTCGTTTACATCGTTTACAATAAATAACGCTAATTTCCCCGTCCGTAATTTTTATACAGTAACATTGTACTAAAATTGACGCCGCGCGTGTCCCTCTCTCGCTTTCTCTCCCTTTTCATTCTTCCTGTACATACACACTTCCTTTCCTTCTAATAATACGCTTCGATTCTTCTCTTTTAGATTCGGTTTCTCTTTTATCGATAAAAACAGGAAAACAAAAATTCTCTTTGTCGTGCCTTCGCTTCACGCGCTCGCTCCCTCTCTCTCTCTCCCTCTCTCACTCTCTTCCTCTCTCGCTTGCTCAACCGCCGATCCACTATCATTCTCTCTCTTTTTCTCCCTGCACCGGCTAATCGTCGTTAAACGTTAGGGTCGATAAATTAATCGCGAAAAATACTATAAGTACTAGAAGTGTGTTTTAGACGCGAAACGAAGTGGCCACACGCCACGACTCGATTCGATTCGGACGCGAATCGCGTGACGGAATATAGAATTCCATTTTCCTCTCGCCCTCTGTCCCGGTCCTCGTGCGACATACCGGATACCAGTGATTGCATGTGAATACGGAAAAAAAGGACCGTCCGCCGTGAACGTGGGATATTATATACGATCTAATAACGCGGGTTTCTTGCGTATACGCACGGAAAACGCGCAGAGACTGCGGAACGCGATACAACGGACCGCAGCTTCTTCTCTTTCTCTTTCTTTTCTTTTTTTCTTCTTCTCTTTTTATGTTCGATTTCTTTCATTCTCTCTTTCTTTTCTTTTCTTTTTTTTTTCATTTTCGTCATTTCTATCTTCGTTTCTCACGTATCGACACGGCCGACCGGAATGGCGTATCGCTACAAACACACACACACACACTAGAAGGAATAGGAACAAGACTTTTTGGCCGCTCACCGTATCTTCGTACACACACTCACGCACGTGCACACCGAAATACGTGTCGCGATCGTCTCGCGGATGTGTTGAAACGCGGCTCATACGAAACGCGATAAGACGAGTTCGATCGAGCATCGGCGGGAGATTGCATCGGGTCGATCCTTCTGGCGCGCGCGCACACACGTGACACATGGCAGTCTTACGAAAAATCAGGTATGTATATATATATAATGTGTGTATATATATATTTTTTTTTGTTATATTTATATTTATTTATTTATTTATGTATAATTCTAGCGTTCATGTTGCTCCGCGCTCCCGCGTACGGAAAACACCCGCGAGATGGATACCGACATACGTTGACACGCAAATCGACGTTCGTTACCTTTTTGAGAATTCTACTCGCGCGTATATCTCGTTACCTAGAACGTTACCTAACGACGATCAGACCTTATCGTTCGCAGATTTGCGCTGCCTTGGTCGCGGTTTTGATTACACCAACGGAATACACCATGTACCCCTTCGTGCCGCCGTCGTGTTCGTTCTTCTGCTCGGCATGGGCCAACCGTCACCTGCTGTCCCCATCCCGTTACTCTCGTAACAGTATAAACAGCCAGAGAACCATCAGCTCCGCGCGCCTTTATCCACCGAGCTCACGTTCACCGGTGTCCCGTGAACCGATCCACGTGTGTACGTAGCAAATAACGAGAGGGGGCTGGTGGGCTGACATCGGGTCACGTGACTGTACAGCGCGACACTGTCCCAAAGCTTCAGCCGTGAGTGTAGCTCGGATTATACGCGGTCTCTTTCGCGTGCACGAGTACGAGTCTCGTAACGATCGCACGACATGTCAGGCGACACGACGACGGCGGATCCAAGGATGCAGGACTCGCCTCTCGAATCCGCGGAAGGGCCTCCACGCGTCGTACGATGGCACAGAATTGAATCGTTATATATCACAACCTCTCGAGCGAGGCTTCGAAACGCTCGGTCACTCTTCGAGAACGTTCTTCCCCAGATGACATTGCTTCCACGTTGTTCACGCGGTACGTAAACGCGTTTAATCTTTTCACGTTGAACCGTTGGAAGTTTTACCAGAACAACTCGTGGCCAAGTCTCGACGTTGAAGCTGCTGTTGCTGTTGACGATGATGCTCCGGGCGGCCATGGCGGCTGACCCGGAGCTGCGGTTCAATCTTCGTCGTGGTGCCGCGGACTGGCATCATAGCCACCGATCGAGCCCGAGTTCTCCGGCGAGAAGTTCATCATGTCCGTAGGCGACAGGCTGTCTTGCGGATAATAGAAGGATGGATGATCGGAACTCGGACCGGCCGCGCCGCCATTCAACATGGTGGCCGGTGGTGACACGGACGGCCTCGCCGACGGCCCGGCCCCCGCTCCCGGATGGTGTTGCGTGCTCAGATCAGAGCCGACAGGGGACAAGAAGCTCATCTCTGGCCCGCTGTCGCGACACCAGAGCTGCCTCATTTCCTGCCGCCGTTGCCGCATCAGCGACTTGTACTCGGAGATGCGCATCTTCTTCCCGTCAACGATGCAGGTGCGCTTCGGTCGCGGCCTGTACCTGTAGTCGGGATGCTTCTCCATGTGCAGCTTCGACAGCCGGGATTGCTCCTCGTAGTATGGCTGTTTCTCAGAGTTCGACATCGCCTTCCATCGAGCACCTACGCAAAATCAAGCAATTATGGCTTAGGCTAGTCTTAAACGTGAATTAATCTTTAATTTTCTAGTACAGAAACCATTTTGTCGTAAACGATTTGGTATTTACAGGAAATGGGAGGAAGATTGATCGCTTTCTTCGAGAGTCCTGTACTTTTTAAGGTAACCGGGATACTAACGTAGATATTAAGGTGAGGTTATGTACTTCCTAGAGCATTGCATTTGTACATCTCTTGGTAAGAGCCGAAGAGCTTTGGTGTCCCTGTACATAACTAAGTTTTAACCAGGACGCCAATTGGCGTGGTTCGTCGTTAAAGTGTTAATATCCAGGAGATACTTATCGAAGGAATTAGAAGGAGTTATTAGTAGATCCAGAAGGAATCTTTGTGAAGCGAAGATGGTTTTGAGCTTCCATAGAATCTGATGGAGCGTCGTTACAGGTATTTGCAACAATATCGAAAACTCTGCTTTAATTGTAACATTTATTTTACATTCGAGATAAAGTAAATCATTTTCTAATGTAACTTTCAGTGTCATCGAAATAAGACAAGTGCGAGGGAAACTTTGGACAGTGTCGAAGTTTTTAAAAATATCATAAAAATCAGAACACTTCTTCCTGCTTGCAACGTAATCAGCGATCAATCGGCGAGGTACTTGGTTGACGTCTTACCGAGTATTTTCGATATGTTCGAATTATGCATGTCCGGGCAGGCTTTCAAAATTTTCCTACGTTCGTCCTTGGCCCACACCATGAACGCGTTCATAGGCCGCTTGATATGTGGCTTGTTCTCACCCTCCCTCTTCTGCTGTCTCACCATTTTAGCTGAACAGAGAGAAGACGTGTTAGATGTCAACGCGCCGCCACTCGGCTCCCTCCCGTGAGAAGCGAATCTGATTTCGTGAGCATCACCTGGCGCTCTCGAAACAAAAGCGTAACGTCAGCCTCGTGGCTCGTCAAAAGACTGCTTACCTTTTTCCGTTATGTCTTCCGGTACCTTGTAACCCGGCTCCCGCCACACTGTAATTTCAGAATACCGTAGCATGTTATAATTCGCAACAGCAAGTTCAAGAAGATTATGAGGAATCGGAACGATTGAAACAAAACACCGTATCCATCGAATAGACCCCCTCATTCCTTTACGATTTATTCCATACATCGTTGCAGATGAAAGGACCGAATCGTTAATGGACGAAACGAAATCTTAGTCTTTGAATTCAAAAGATTCTTTCCCCCTGCAATTAGACTCAGTAACGAGTAATCTAGACGTGCAAAGATATGATAATCCTTTCATTGCAAGGATTAACAATTTCATATAAACCTAGATCTTTTTGACTCTGCGCGAGCTTAAAAGCGTAGAAAAGTACTCGAATTTAATCGTAATGCATGTTCGTTTTTGATGTATAATCTGTGCCAACGAAACTTTAAATGGACGAACAATAAACATTATGTGACGGTGTATTTAATTATGAAATTATACGAGAGTTTATGTATTTGTGAAATCGACCATTTCGTATGTAATAACTTGACGTGTGCGTAACTGGGTAAGATGATGAAGAAGGGAAAGGATATGTTCAAATTTACAGTTATTCCTCTATAAACACACGTAGGAAATTATACGTTTATATTTCATTTTATTGCACTGACCATCATCGTCTCTCGAGATTTAATATTTTATCATTATATTCCTATTAAACAGTTCGTTTACCCAGAGTGTTTAAAATATACAGGTTAGGGAAACACATTATGTTAGAGGAAGAAAGAATCGTGTTCTGTCTATATGCCGTACAAATCTATATTTCCCCATTAAACATTCGCGTATGAACTCTAGACGCCTCTTCGTTCTCGCTATTTAAATTTCAGCAATAATTAAAGATATTGGTGCATAGACCGGTTGCTCGTCGACAGGCGCCCGAGACCTACATTTCAAACGCTTCGTTGCAACAAATAAAACGAGAACGAAAATGCGTTTACTAGGAAAAGAGAAGGATTCATCACCGTTTACCACTCTATGCTCTACTGACCTACACTTCTAAGATTTTTTAACAATTATCAATTTATACCTTCCCTGCTAGAGTCGTAAGAAAATTACAACATACAAGGTGGATCAAAAGTCGCGTCTCGGGAGTTGCAGGAAAGTTACGTTCTCGCAGGGCAAATAAATTAAAAATTAAGTCAAACTATTTTTGTTAAATTCTAAAAACGATTCGGGGTTATTGATCCACTCTGCATGGTGTTTCCTATATAACAAATAGTCTCCCAGCATATGACGTGTCGGTTCTATCTTCCTCTCTGTGTCCAAACAAAATTTAAAGAAAAGAGTTAGGATCATAACGATAAAACATTAGTGCTACTGGTACTATTATTACACTAGTACATTAATACATTAGTATATACACTATACTAGCATTAGTACTAATATGGTACTGATACTAGTACTAGTACAAATGGTATTGACTATGTTGCGAGTCATGAAAGGAGAAGAAACAGTATTTACTGTGAGGCGTCGACAGATAGTCCTGTTCTTCCTGCGCAGCCTCCTCCCGGGAGCCAGAGTGCTTGATCGGTCGTTGGGTCTGCGGCGACGGTGGCATCGCACCTGCACTCGGTGGTATCGCATAAATGCCGTGCATCGCGAAGTGCTTTTCCACGGCGGCGACCGCTGCGGCCGCCACAGCACCTCCAGGTCCAGCCGCTTCGTCTTTGGCCATTACCTTGCCCACTGCAACCATGAGTTAAGCACGAGATAAGCAACAGCCGAGAAAAAGATTTACGGCAAATCAATATATTCCGCTAACGTCATCGCCTCGCTTCACTATATAAACAAGCAATGATACTTATGTATACCATCGTGGTTGCGCCATCAATAGCTTTTCCGACGTTAACATCGTGAGGTCTATTCTGGCTTTGAAACTTCGGATTTCTAAAATTCCATTTTGAAGTGCGTTTCATTTTAATTTCATTGAATTATTTAACGGTTTATATAGGGTGTCTCGAGTTTTAGTAGATGGTTAAAGCGAGGAAAAGGAAAAGGGTGAAAAGTATGAAAATTGTAGCATGAGTGACATAAGTCGACCAGTATCGCTATTCCTGGCATAGGATATTTAGGTATTTTAGATACCCTAAGGCTACACTTAGGGTGTATAAATTACGTCACAATTATAGTCAATTTTCAAAAAATAAAAATTAAATATCATGGGGTATTACGAGTACTATTAAATCGTTATTCAGTTATGGGAAGTATCTTGGAGAATTTGCAAGCTGTTTTCGAAAAACTTTGTTGTGTAAGTATGTACACAGTGAATTATGTTTTTTGCCCTGATTTCAAGGTGGCGTTTTGACGATGTTATTCGGTCACAACATCGTTCTATATGTGAATAACATTGAGTTATGATTAACGATTTGCAATTATCATGTTGGGATTAATGTAAATGTATAATGTCTCGGGTATAGCGCTATAAATCTCGCCTCGCGTGTTCGGGAAAATTTTTTTGAGTATTTGAATACTTCAAACTTGACTAATGAAGAATAGTTTTTCTCGAATTTCATTAGGATAATTATTAAGTATTTTTGCTTGGTATTATAACCTTAGTACTTTATACTAATTTTTATACTTGAGATTATTCCACATCTTACACGCTATACCATACAATACTCTATATTTTGTATTTTATATTACTCTATATCTTATACCGTTTCACAATTAACCCTTTGCACTCGAGAGGTGACCCTCAGTCACCATTTCATAAAATTTGGAAATCGATATTAATTAATATATCAATTTTAATGCAAGGATATCGAAATCAAATAATTCTACAATTCTATTATTATAAAATTCTTTATTTACTGCTGAAAAAAGTATCGTCAGTTTTTTAATAGAGAATCCTTGATTTTCTACTCTTCTCTAGCCAAAAAATCGTCGAGTGCAAGGAATTAGTACTTGATAGTACTCCATACTTGACATTTTATACTACTTGATTATTCTTATACTACTCTATATACACTTTCCATTTTATACTTGCTATTTTCTACTCCATCAAATAATCAAAAATGAAACATCGTGATCCGAGATTTCTCGACGCTATGACGACACTGTTTATCTTTTCTCGCGCGAAGAAGTCAACGAACGGAATTTCCGTCACGATTTTAATATCACGAATGACAGCTCACGGAATCCGTAGGCGTCCGTTTCTTCTTCCCCCATTTACGTCCCCCCAACCCGTTCGTTTTATCCTTGCCAAGCGTCTTTCTTTCCTCCCCGGGGATACTTACGCTCTTGCACCGGCTCTTATCTTAGAATCACGTTACGCGTCGTTGATTGTGCTTTAAACCGAAAGCAAAAACCCGGCCGCGAAAGGGAACAGGTTTTACTTGGGGCAAAATAGAAGGGAAAAAACGGCCGATCCACCGAACAATCAGGTAAACGCGCGCGCATACCCGAAGATAATTAACCGTACACGTTTCTGATCCCGCCGCGTATTCTATGGGGTATTGATCGGATTTTTTTCGCCTCGCGTCCGTCCACCGAAAAGGGGTACACCGTTGTCGCGTTACACAAACGGGCAGAACCGGTGGACTGCGGTTACCGATCGGGACGGCAATCGAACATCGATATTCCGCGTTCGCGAGGCCGATCGGAATTTCTATCAGCCGCGCGTGTGTACTTTTAATGATGAAATTCATCGCGGTGTACCCGGCTGCCTCGTTAGAGCCACTAGAGCCCTCTCGCAGAGACAACCGATTAAACCGAACGATTTAACCGAATATTTACCGATCTTCTACCATCGTGTGTACGTTTGTATACCCGTGCACCGATTTAATTGATTCGGATAGTTAATTTGGCAAGGCGTCGTTTGCATTTTTGTAGGTTATGTTGATATGGGATATGGGAGAAGAAGAAATTTTGTTTTCCGATTATTGCGTGTAAATTATGTTACTTTCGGTTCCGATGGTGACGATTGGTGACTTTGATTAGTATGCTAGGTTATTATTATTTTTGCAACGAGTTGATTAACTTTGTCGTTTCGAAGAATTATGGATTAACAGGTACACCTTGTGGCTCAAATTTATTTTCTAACAACTAGCATTTCGGTCTCAAATGTTTAACCCTTTGCACTCGAGTCGCCATTTAATAAAATTTCGAAGATCGGTATTAATTAATATGTAAAATTGAAGATAAAGTAACGGCGTGCGAAGTATCGAAATTAAATAATTCTACGTACCAATTATTATACTATTCCTTATTTACTGCTCAGAAAAGTATCGTCAATTTTATAACAGAAAATCTTCGAACGTCTACTCTTCTTTAGCCAAAAACTCGTCGAGTGCAAAGGGTTAGGAATTACGTTAAAGAGGAAATTAATTCATACTGTATGTAGAATTGGAATGAGTGCGGCCTTGAAGGAGTGTCGGGAGTGTTTGAACTTAGAACAAAGGTGACCGCGTGCAAGAGGATCGAATGGATGCGTATGACAGAGCCGAGTGCGATAAACGAATGGAATTTGGTTTATGAGTGCGGCATGCGTTTGAAATACCTGGTCTACCGTGGTTTCGAGGAAAGAGGCATGATTGGGAAGGAAAGCCTGAGCGTGAAAAAAGGACAGAATGAATGGTTTAAAGAAAGGTGCAAGGGCGCAGGCGAATCGGTGTGTAAGAAGCCCAATCAGTCTAACAGTTCAGTCTAAGATAGTCCATTGTTCAGTCGGAGAATGTCCAAAGTCTAAGAGTTTTCAGTCGGAGAATGTCCAAAGTCTAAGAGTTTTCAGTCGAAGAGTGTGTCAAAGTCTAAAGTCAGTTCATGAGAGTCGTTTTAACGCTAGAACTACCGATCCTTAATGGGTACCTAACTATAACGTGCACAGATTATAGTAATTTCAAGCGGTACGATGAATACGAGTGAATATATTGATTACAGTTCTTTCTTAATATGAGCTGATACCAATTTTATTCTTAAAATAGGTGTATGTGTTCAGTGACTGCAACAAGGGAAATTCTGGGACCAGTCATTTTGACTGGGTTGGTAGTTCTAGTGTTAAGAAAGATCAGAAGAACGTAGCCATAGCGAATCTCTCTTGTTTCATAACCAGCCGCCATTATTCTATTAATAAGCTTATTTTATTCTATCAAGAAGCCAATAATACTATCTCAAGTCCATCCACCTAAAATGTGACCCTACATCTATGATATACAAATATTTTACAAGAGCACATTGTACAGTATGAACTCTAATAAGAGTAAGCTGTAACAGAATATTACCACTGCTCCGTTAAAAGCTTCCACGAATATTTCCTACGTTGACAAATGACTTGAAAATGAACCTAAATTTAAGAAAGATGTTGGAAATAAAATATATGTAGGTTGGTATGAAATAAAACTTACTTGGTGAGGAGAGGGAGCTGAGGTGAGGTGGCAGGCCCGCGTAAGGGAGGGTCGTGAGATAGTTCCGTGGCATTGGTAGGCCAGGCGGAAAGAGCTTCGGCGCAGTCGCAGCGAGCGGTTGCTCTTGTTGGCCACTGCTTCCGGCACCGGTCGAATGCGAGTCGCTTCCGGGCGACGAGGAGGACGCCGTGGCCCCCGATGACGAGGACTTGGGCTTGGAGAGGTTCAGTGGCGCGTCGAGGTCCTGCAGAGGGGGCGCTGTCGGCGCTACGGCGGATGAGATCGGCGTAGGTGACGCTTCCTTTTCCATCTGCGTGGCCATCTGTGCGAGATGCGCCGTACCCCAGCTGGACCCTTCCCGATGACTGCTGATCATCTGTAACCATTATCATTTACGTTTCTTTCTTTGCTAGCAAGTGTATTTATCTGTTTCTTCCAGACATGCTCTTCTCGTTGGAAGTGGAATTTACTTGTGTTAAACTTGTCTCTTTCGGAAATTTCATTTTGCTTTCGAGATCTAAGGACAGTACGTAAGTTCACCTCGTATAACTGCCTATAATAAAATATCTTCCTTGTGTCGTTTATGCGAGATAAGTGACTTGTAAATATTACTGGCGTTGACAGACATTGACAGCAAAAATAGATAGGTGTAAGCTTCTATCACATTTGGCATAAAGGTTATGATCACGAAGTTTGACGAACGAAAATTATTTTCGAAAAAATTATATAGTATCGGATGAAAATTCATGTCACACCTTTTCCAATTGTTAAGACACTAATTCATAAGAAATTACTCTCGTGAATTCTATTAAATGTTTCTTAAAACCGATAAGTGAACCCGATACGAATTTCGATGAAAAAGGAAATTGAAAATGAAGACCATTTTATAAAAGAATTCGATTTCGAACAGACGCGGTGTTCCCCGAGCGCTCGTGTCTATAAATTAATATAGTTCAAAGCACCGTAACCGAATGCTTAAAATACCAATCTAAATCAAACACGTACTAGCTGTTGCCAATGTAATTTGCGGATCTACCGCTCGCGACGGTCGAACAACTCTGTTTTTCGCTACACACGACGGATCACCGGCACCCCCGCCAAGATCATATTTTTAGTCGCGAATCTGCCAAGTAGAAAGAAACCGCGTCAAAGTCACGTTTCACCGATCCCCGAGATTTCTCTCCCTCCAGCCGCATCGATCCTCTACCCATCGAACATCCGCCTTTCTCGGCTTCTTTTTTCCCGCGGTTATCAATCCGCCTCCCTGTCGGTGGCGCCACCTACGTCGCGCGGGGACGCAGTGAATTTTTCATCGAGCCGCTCACCTTCAAAGTTCCGACGCTGCTAGCGGCGGTTGGACGCGTAGACGGGGCCTGATTATAAACGTTAATCAAAGTCGAATGTGGAACGAACCTGGGGGGAAATTGGGCTTGCGATAGGTTTACGTACGTTAGCGATCGAATTGATATGTTTGTTGGTGGTGGTTGACGTCGACGTAGCCGGCGGTGGCGGCATAGGCGATTGCACCGGCAACCCTCTGAGCTGTTCGAGAAACGGTAGGAACATCAAGGATTGCGGCCCCGACATGCTCAGCTGGTTCTTTGTCATCTGAGCCTGTAGCTCCTGTATGTTGTGCTGCATGATGTGCTCTTGCTGCCGCTTCAAGTGCTCCGTTTGCAGCCGCTGTATCTCGATTTGCTTCTGCGAGTCGACGGTCATGTGCGCAGGATACGACTGCAAAGCCATGGGACGAGCAATTAGAGGGTATGATGAACCCCGTTGTCGCTGGCAAAAAACCAGAGAATGAACTTTTCCCTTCGTTTTCTTTCACAAGGGAAACGGAACCCAGCGTGGCTGCGACTCGGTATTCATTTTCTGCTTTTCAGTCCGAACGACAACGAACGATGAGACGTAACGTGGAAAAATTGTTAGATCCACGGATGGTTTAATCTTTGCGCACGAGGGAATTGCGAATTTGTTCATCGTCTCTCTCGCGCTGTTCTAAGAAACTCCGCTCGCGATTCGTCGCGAATTTTCATCTCCGAGTTTAGTAATCGGGCTACGGACACATTTGGGCGCGTTTCTATGACGACTGAAACGGGTAATCGAACGAACATGGCGTAGATTATACGGGGAACGGGTGTAAATACGTTTGTACGCTACTCGCGTACATCTGTGCATAGAAAGTGTACGTTTAGGTGGAATTTCTGAAAGTGCCAGTGATAATTATCGCAGAAGGATGCCTAGCATTCGTGATGAGAAAAATGGTGTGGAATTTATACGAGCGTAACGAACCCGCTTCGACGCGAATTGATTTGCACTCGGGACATGTTTCCAAATTAAATTCCATCGTTTAAACGGTTTACAGCCTCTAGATAAAACGCTAATTGGAGGGACACGTAAGGATACAGGGATTTTTTCGAACGACGAGGAAAATGGAGGCAAACGATAAAGATAATTGCGGCCTAATATTAATCTCCATTGGAGCACCACCGCGCAAATGTAATCTTAAACTGCCTATAAATGTTAGAAGGAACGGCGAGATTTTTCCATAAACCTCCCCCCGTCGGGACAGTGCACGATTTATTGCCGTACAATTTCCATTACAACAACGATAACGACAGCGTAGATACGCTTTCGTAAACGCGAGAGCAACATTTTAACATTTAAACTGCAATTTAAATCTCCATCCCATCGGATCTCCGGCTATCATTAGCTACCAGGCTACCAGGCTGTTCTACACGGGTATCGAATATATTTTCCACAGAGATCAGGACTAAGAGACACCTGCTTTTTCTTTTTCTTTTTTTCCTTCCTTTTTTTTCCAAAACGAGAATCGATGCCCAGAACCAGTTCCACACTCGCGCTTTCCCAGAAAGCGTAATAAAAGGCGTGATCGAGACACCACGCGAGGTATTAACTTTAATTGCCGGTTATCGGTCGCGTGAAACGGAAGCTGAACCAGGCAAGGAAAGCGCGACGGAAAAACGAATGTTATCTTTGCTAAATGATAACGCAAGCAGGAAGGAATCCGCCGGGTTTCTCTTTTAACTAGCGTCCTTTAATCATTCCTGTACTCGTGTAATTACAGCGGCGATAAATACTTCGGGACGTCGATGTTCACGGAGACAAAACGACCTTACAGGGACGGAAGATCTGAAATTTAATATGGTAATGAAATATCGTAATGAAATTAACAGGGAATTTAAATTTGCATTGTGGTCTTTAATTTGCAGCTATTATACCAAGTACAAAATGACAGGTTGTCTAGATAACTGTTCACCGGTAACGTATATAGTAACGAGTATTTCCCACACTGTTAATGATTGTGCAATTCTGTTGAAAAAATTTCGTAACCCAATTGTTTTATTAATTAACGATACTATAATATTGCACGGCTCTAGGAATGCTTCGTGTCGATTTTTCAATCTGCTTTCTACGCCTTATCCATCTATCGTCTTTGTTAGGCATTTTATGATATACTTATTATTTTATACCATCGCATTAATAGTACAGAATATTTCACGAGTAGAATTCTTTATTTAATTTAAATGTTCCAACCAATTTCAACATCACTAGTTATTAGTAGATTCCGTGTATTTACTACTTTCCATTCTATTAAAGACGATTCTGTTGTAAAATGTGCTAATCAAATCATTTTATTAATCAACGATACTAAAATATCACAAAAGTTTTAAAATCTTTCATATCGACTGTCAGATACGATTCGTACGCTTCACCCATGATGGCAAAGTGCTGCCATCTGATTTCAATATGCTACAATTGTAATACTCGTTAAAGCATATATTTTTAATTTCAAAGTTTAAACGTTTTACGATACAATCGATAATTTGTCGCTATCGTAGCGATAACGTTAAAAATATTAAATATTTACGAATAGAGCTCTTTATTTAATTCGTGTTTCGATCAATTTCGACATCACCAGTTATCGGCAGTTTCTATGGCGCCACTAGCAGGTGTAATACTGCCGGTCGCCGATGGCCACACGGTGGCGCCACTAGTACGTCTGCCTCATGGCGGTCACCGGTAGCTGCACGACAGTGAACGCGTCTAATATCAATCTGTAACCATTCCCTTTCACGTGCCGTGCGATCAAAGCGCGAATAAACGTACGATATCGCCGAAGTCGATCGCGGGACATCGTGAGCCGAGTGTCAGTTCGACGATCGAACGAATATTCCGTGACGTTCGCAAGACACGAGTGTCGATATTCGCTGTTTATTTTTCGCGAAACTTCCGACTTCGCTTATGCAACGCAGATAGTGCGGAACGTGTACGTTATTCGATTAAGAAAATTCTGTGTATTATGCGCGTTATTAATCGGCTCGCGAGCGTAACGTACCCACGCTTGATTCTCTTTTCCTTTTTCTCTTTCGCGCGTCCCTGATGATCGCCGCGACGACGTTCGGTCGGATTCGACGCATTGTTCCGGCAATTTGCATTGAATGCGCGTGAAAACCTGTAACGAGCGATCTTGAACGCGTAATCGGGCCGATGTTTTCGATTGTACCGCCATTATCGTACAAATCATTCGTTATGTAATTCGAATAGGGAGATAATGAGATGCTCGTTGAATTCGATGGAGCCGGTGAATTTTTCGTTGTTTCTTCTTTCTGCTTTCGCTTTGCACGGTTACGACGCACGCGGCCCTCTGTGTTTGCAGCAACGTTCCGTGGGTTAATTTAGGTTTTCGCGAAACGTCGAAGGTTCCGTTTGGAAAGTTAGATGTAAATATCAAGGAATGCGGATAGACTTTGTTATCGAGTGGGAGAGGTTAGAATTTAGGAGCGGATAGGGAGTGGGTGAGGAAAGTTATGCGTATGTCGAGTAAAATCTGGTTGTGATTGAATTTATCCGAGTGCAGGAACCTGTCGGACAATCGTTCGGGATCGATACGCATTCCAAGGTACGTGAATACTTCAAACAATTTCTCACCGACGGGCACCATTTTTCTCGCCAGGATTCTTTTTCGGAAAACACGCGAATATTAATTTTCTCTGTTTCTTTTTCTCTTCTGTAACGAAATCATTTATTTTTTAATACATTCGGATCATCTATATCGAGATGGTTAAAAATAATTTAAAAATAAATCAAACAATGGCGTATGTACTTGTAATCGGTGTACATAAACGGGCAAATGAAAAATGGCGTAAGCTGTGAACGCTTCGTAAAGGAATACTTTCTCGAACATTACTCATTTCCATTCTATCGCGAATAGATAAAAAATCCGGGCAGATAAATGTGTCATCGAAGAAGATAAATGGAGCATTTTTCAAAGCGACGTCCCCAGGCTGCCACAGAAATCTCTCCAGCACCGATTACAGGAATATTCGAGCTACGTACGCAATAAAGCAACAACCCGATAATTACGTGATCGATCGTTTTGCTTCGACGTTCCGTTCGGACACGACAATTTTCCCGGATGGGTTTTCGCGAATTACAAAGCGGACGCGTGCACACGCTGACCCTTTTCCCGCGGAACTGGGACGCAAATACACGCCCATCGCGGTGGCAAGGGTTAAGGTGACCGCGGTCGGACCGCTAGAAACCGGGCCGAACGGAATATTTCTTTTCCAGCGGCGGCCATTAGTCAGTGGGACTAGGTGGCGCTATTAATCCAAGCAGGACAGGTTCTCAGCGCTGCCGCGGTGCTCCGCGGTGTAACAATTCAACGTGGCTAATATCATTGTACTTTCCTACGACCTGGCTGTGGTCCAGATATGCTTGAAGTTTAAAGTCTATTTTAGACGATAAGGAAGACGTTTATTCATCCAGCCTGGGCACCAGCTGAAACGTCACGCATATGCGCGATATTAGGCACTCGCTCCCCACTCCTCTCGTTTCAACCTCTGTCTCTCTCGCGCTATCCCTTCGCCTGTCTTTCCACGCGCGATTATTAATCCTCCACGCGGATCGTGGTAGATCGCGGCCCGTGATTTACGATCGCCACAGGACACGCGGTTTCGTCGGATAACCGCTCGTATTCTTCGCCAATGGAACCCCAGTCGTATCTTCTCTTTCCCCCTGGATGTGGAAAAAGAAAGAGGACGAGGACGAGGAGAGCAACGTGTTCGATGTTTGCCTTTCATGAACGTTACCCACGTGACTTTCGACTTTTTTCGGCAGAACCTGATGATTCACGTCGCGTAGATATGAGAGTAGAACGAAAAGCGCTCGGCAGTTATTTATAACTCGATTGTTGGTCGTTAGTCACTCTGAGAGATTGGTCCAGTTATTCGTGCTATGCGACGAGAGTTAAATGCATTTTTTGCTAATTGGACGTATGCGGATAATTTTTCTTTTTGTCACGAGTAATGATTTTATTTCATTTATTCTCACTCGCCGTTTTATCATACTTTTTCTGAATAATAGATCGGAGGAATGGTATACATAATTAAGATAGTTCACGCGTGTTGGTTCACGATTCATTCATAGACATTTGGAATATTTCAGTGCGCTATACAGGGTGCCTTGAGTTTTCCGTACGAACTCCGCCAGTGACTCTCATGGGCAAAAATAAGATTGAAATATCGCGTGAGAAGAAACGTGTAAATTCTCGAAGAGAGAGTGCGATAAAAATATCGTTGCCTTTTGATTTAGCGAGAAAATGGAGCGGAAAATAACGATACGCGGGTTTTGAAAAATGCAGCATGGGTAATGGTTTATAGTGCAAAATTTGTAGATTTATTTGCTGCGTGGATACGAACGCGATG